CCCGCCTGATGCTAAAGCGGCCTCTGCTTCACTATTGCCCCCGGTTTCTTTGTCTCCGGTCTTCAATGCACCCTTTTCCTTGGCTCCCTGGAGGCACACTATTACCACAAAGTGTTCCATGTCTCCAGCCTCTGATGCCCCTTTTATTCCCTGGCAACCCCAGAGACATATTACCACCTGTGTTCCCGAGTCCCTGGACTACAATACACACTATTCCTTGGCACCCCAAAGACACACTATTACCCCCTGTGTCTCAGTATACCGCAAGCTGTATACTGAGCTTAGGGTGACAGGAGGACGCTAGTTTGTGTCCTCCCGTTACCCTAAGGAGAACTATGGGGAAAAGACTAAACCCCATAGTTCTCCTTTAACTAGGGAGTCCATTGAGGGACACAGGAAGTTATACTGCTGGCTACAGGAGATGTGAACATTGACATATAAAAAGCTGTAGGCCAGCCCAGGATGGTCCCTCCTAGTTCCAGAATGTCCCAGTTTTTGTTGCAAAGTAGTACCCAGAGCATGGTCAGAAGGGTGGAACCTAGTTGGTGTCCTCCCGTTACCCTAAGGAGAACTATGGGGAAAAGACTTAACCCCATAGTTCTCCTTTTAGGTTTTGAAGGACATTACATCAGAATACAGCATACAGAGAACCTCCTATATATCATAGACAAGCATGCACAAGCATAGAGACTAACATTGCACTATACTGCCATCTACAGCTAAAAAGACATATTGCAGTAAGTAATACAATCAGTTTGCTGATTTGAATGTTGAATTCTTTTTTTTTTGCCAGGTCTGGCCTCCATCATGAAGCGTCTGCTCTGCAAGTACGACAACTTGTTTGAGGTCTCCTTCCCGTACTCCATGGGCTGGCACGGTGCGTCAACCAGACAGGGCAACACTGCTTAGGCAGCAGTCACCGTTGGAGGACTCGAGCTGCCCCCTCACTGTACAATCTGATTGGATATGTTGCAGATCTGTGTGTGGGATTCCCATAAGTGCCCATCCAATGATAACATTACAGTGATGTGGCATGAATCGGTGACTAGGATCTAATCGGATTGTATAGTGTGTAGTTTGATTGTGTGGTTGGTGCTTTTATTCTCCGCTACAGTCAAAATTGTTATATTGTATATGGGAGAGAGAAAAAAAAAATGAGAAGAGAAGAACAGTTCACAATTCAAGTGTCTAGCTTAAAGGGTATGTCCAGGAATTACCCATCGTGTACCACCAAACCTCCCTCTCCCCCTTGATAATTTCCGAGGAATATTTTTTTCCCTTTACTTTGTTCTTACAGTGAGAAAAAACGTTTCAATACTCCGTGCGACATCGAGGGCTCATTTCCTAATGACTTAAAGGAGAACTATGGGGTCAGGGCTTTTCCCCATAGTTCTCCTAAGGGTAATGGGAGGACACAAACTGGCGTCCTCCCGTCACCCTGGGCTCAGTATATAGGGAGCTGTAGCTCCCTATATACTGAGACGCCGCAGCCGGAGCGGATCCCGACAATTATGCCGGGATCCACCCAGCTGCGTGACTGACAGCTGGCTCTGCCTATCTAGAGGCAGAGCCAGCTGTACCCTCCCCCGTCCGGTCCGCCAGTCAGCGCTGGAGGATCGGAGCGGGGAATCCAGCCCCTCCCCTGTCACGGCAGAGAGCTGTGACAGGATCGAGAGGTGAGCGAACGCCAGTATGTGTTCCCTCACCTCCCGATCTACTGAGCCGACCTGTGACAGTCTCATTGTCACACGTCGGCTAGAACTATGAGGTGAGTGAAAATCACTCGCCTCGTAGTTCTCCTTTTTAAGCACACCCCCAGAACTACATCTACCAACAGGCATTTTTCCTTACAAGCACAATGTGTAAGCAGGCTCTTGGGACTCGAGGAAGCAGCGCTGTTTTATTAGGAAAGAAGTCAATGTATGCATGTAGATTGAGACCGGGAGGGTGGGTATGGGGG